ATCAACTATGAAGGAGTTGGTAGGCCCAACATTCAAGTAAAATTTCCAAAATATTGGCATTTGTTCAGGTTAGTTCAGACATGAAGTAGCAGAAAAAGCACTTGCCAACCCAAAAAATCATGAGCTCAGAACATGTATTGTGGGTGAGACAAAAATTAATTTTTTTATTCTGTGATAGCCTTTCAGACTAATGAGTATTGCTAAAGCTGATGATGACCATGTATGTGAGTGAGAAAAAAACATGAAATAACACCGTGAAAATATGAAGATTGAACACCGAATGACGCAATTTCTTTCTGTAATCATTTAATGGCAAGATTTAAAGATGAAAAAAATTTCTATGTGCTAAAACATTAAGCTGTCATGTTATAAGCCAATGATAACCCTTCTTGTAATTTTGCAAAGAAAGAGAATTCAAGACAATTTTGGCTTTTGATTGTAGTACTACACTAGAGTAGATTCATGTCTTTTGACATTATATACATACTAACAGCAAACAAGAGATTTTAAAACCTGTTTTACATACCGGGAGTGATCTCCCCTAAACTTCCTCATATTTTTATACGAGCTGACCCGCGGCGTATCATACGCCCCTATTTAGTTGTTTTATTTTCTACTTGTCAGTACTTTAAGTGAATTCGACACTACCCTCCCTTCCACACCCCCCCTCCCCGCCACCGTGAATGCAGCCGTCCTTGACGACAGTTTACGGACGACAATAAAAAAAAATCAAGCAAAACTTCTGACCTCTCCTTAGCTTCAAATCGTTTAAAAGCTAAATTATCTGCCCCTAATAGCCGTCACTAATTCGACCAGCTCTACGATTGTAAACATTCGGGGTGAACCTTAGCTCACCAGAATGGTGGGGTGGTAGCTATATGCCTAGAGAGCGGAGGAGTCACGGCGTGCGTTTACATGGTGGTGTCTCGCATGGTCCCCATGAAGAGAATTTAGTATATAGATAAAGTTACGTGGGATGGCAACTCTGAACATAGACATGATTTTCAATCAATTTTTAATTACTTAAACTTTTAAAAATAGAATAGAATCTCGTAGAAAAAAAAAAGAATTGTGCACCAAGTGAATGCCAAACAATACGTGTATAAAAGTGCGGAATATTATTAGTACTTTATAAATTCACTTGGGTTTTTTGAGAAATCGGAAATAGCGTAAAGTACTACTAAATTACTACGGAAATGACTCAAAATTTGACATTTTTCAAGTTATAGGCTTTTGAAAAAAAAAATTGAAAGTAGAATAAGTTCCATTTCCAGTTACCCGAAATTGCTGAAAACTTGAAGCAGAACTACAAATTTGATATAATACTTGTATATGAAATTTCATCAACCTCGCTGTAACGGTACTCAAGTTATAGTCTTTACCTACACACACACACATACGCACGCACGCACGCACACACACACGCATGCACGCACCCACGCACGCACGTACGTACGCACGCACGCACACACACACACAAACACACACACAGACGCACAAACACACACAGACAGAGAGACATACGGACAGAATTGCAAAGCCCAATTTTTCCGAATCTATTACGCATAGAACGCTGAAATTTTGCCTGATTAAAATAAGTCCCTATATTCCGTATAGGATGAAGTACTGAGGTGTAAAACGATGGAAACTGTCAAGATTTCATGTTATTTTTGCGCACGATTACAATACCTACTCTGTACTCTGTATACGAGAAAGTAAAAAGACTGTAATTAGAATTCTTCCACCAGAAATCTGTAAAGGGGAACAACCAAACCAATACATGTCACAAAATCAATTCAAAGATTATCTTCCTTAGCTACAGTTAGATTGAAAAAAAAAGAAAAAAAAGATTGCTAGTAAAAAAACTCACTCCTTCTTGGTATCTTTTTTTTGATTGCTCAGATTAAATAAGACCCCGTCCGTCCATAAGAATTGGGTTGAGTGTTACAGCTGTTTAGACATATGAAACTACACCAACTGATTTAAACTGTCAAGGGAAAATAGAACTTCACTAGATTTTTTGTGTGGGTTATACGGATACTATCGTTTTGGTTCTAGTCCTTGATGGCATAGCTATTAAAAACAGGGTTCAGTTATATGTAGGCCAACGCCATGTTTAATAAAGAAAATAAGCAAATATAGTGCAATAGGTTTAAACTAATAAGGTGCTCAATGATTACATATTGTAGTGTATAAAAAGAAAGCTGATTACAAAAATATTTCTAGATAGTTTATGTTTTTTTATACTTTAAAAAAGATGACTTTTTTGCCTACACTTAAAATTAGCTGTAGTAAACTTGTTGGCTATAGCTACAATCTTACTTCACTTGAAGCTTGTTAATTAGTTCAAATACACGAAACTGCAATTTAATATAATTATTTCAGTTTGCACGGAAAAATAGAAAGCTATTTTAGCTTTGGAAATTATCATATTATCTTAAACATATAAACGTGTAGCTCAGATGTCGTATATCGAGATTATCGGTTGATTAAAATGCCGTTCATTGAAGTGTAGTCTAATTTTAAAAGTTTATCATTAAACAATATTTACATACAACAAAATAATTTCACATTTACCCGGGGATTTCAGTTTTTTTATTTTATTTAAACGATCATAACTTATTCTTTCAAAATGGGCACTAATATGAAAATATTCAGTGTTGTACTGATGGCACAAACCAGTCCTGTTGTACTGATGGTATCAGCCATAGCACCACTCGTCTTGTACTGATGGTACCACACATGGCACCGACATCCTGATAGTAATCGATGGACTCTGCAAACATTATTACATTAACCAGAAGCTTTAAATCAGGTCGGCCTGGCTGTCCACAAGTAGGTCAAGTCTTTATTTACTTCTGTCCAAACGGTGCCAGGACATTCAGCTCACGAACTGAAGAAAGTCTGGGTTTTATGTACAACCACGACATTCAACTCACGAACTGAAGAAAGTCTGGGTTTTATGTACAACCACGACATTCAACTCACGAACTGAAGAAAGCCTGGGTTTTATGTACAACCACGACATTCAGCTCACGATCTGAAGAAAGCCTGGGTTTTATGTACAACCCATTTTGTCTCTGTATTAATGGAAGACAGTGTCTAGAGTAGTCACCACCCCCTCCAACCCTCCTTGACTTTTACCCTTGCCTTTACGAAGCAGATTATTTTTCTTCGTTTTTGTGAAATTAAAAAAAAATATTTTTGTACGGTTACATACCACTAATAATATTCATGGTAGAGATTTATCATAGGCATACACAATTTAGAATAAAGTTTCAACAGTCTTCTTAAAGATAAATGATTAATTTGTGTACCTTAAACACATCTGCCAGCTTAGATTATAAATACTGAAGTGCTTTTTCCAAGCTTAATCTAGCTAGCAGCTCTGTATTTTGGTGTACCTTGTACCTAAACCAAGGTTCTGGAACCAAACAATACAGTCATAGCGCGATTACCTCCCCTCTACGCTACTCACGGCAAGGGACAGCACTGGTATTGCCCTAGAGAAGGGGGAAGCACTGATGTCGTCTGGCTTATAAGGGAATAGGATTGATTGCTTCTGGTTAAAAGCACTCCCCGAGCCTCGCCGTGTGGTTTACAAAGTACCGAGAGAACTGTTCTTCTTTGTTGGTTCACACTTTAGTTCATTTCGTGACCTATGACCTCTTCATTTTTAAGTTGGCAGTACCCTTGCATGACACACACTTACCCTGGCATGACACACACTTACCCTAATATGACACACTCTTACCCTGGCATGACACACACTTACCCTGGCATGACACACACCCTGATATGACATACACTATAAAAATATTTTTTTAAATATGTATCAAGTGTAAAATGAGAAAGTTTTAAAACTTACACATTAATTGGTATTTAATGTTATAAAAATATACAACAAATAACTAGTTAGGAATAGGATGACTGTTAGGGATATAGCTGGTTGAAAAGGAAGAATGCTATTTTATGTTTGTATCTCGTTTTAGTCTACATACCCATTCTTGCTTATAATAGTATACATTTGCTTTTCTTTAATCCGAAATTAATTTTAGCTTTAGTTATAAGCTCATGCGTCGTACCCCCTACCTTACTAAACAAAGGTTCAGTATTTTTTACACCCCCCCCCCCCCCACCACCCCCATAGACCATTCCCAACTCTCCACAGAACACTGAAACTTCCTGTTAAAAATATTTTAATTTTTAGGTTTAAAAAGTGGAAATTAAATGTTTTGTATTATGTATAAGTAAACCATCTTCAATGAATGTAAGTACATGTCTGAAAAAAAGTATTACTATTTTAAATCATCAGTCCTCATAAGCCGATGATGAAAACTGTAATACTAAATCCAACTTGTTAAGGAAAACTCACGCAAACTGTCTAATGCAAAAAAATAATAAATTATAACTACTACTGGCATAAAATATCTTGCTTATCCAATCATATCAGCATAAATAATATAAAAAGTTCAGTGTAACATAAGGCCCAAATAACGAGTAGTATAGACTAAGCTCGTCTCAAAGTACAAACAGGCAGTTTGTTGGTCTGGAGCTACAAACGGTGCGTTGTCTCAGAATACGAAATAAAGGTTAATTTATACACAGATTATACAATCAACAACTATGCCGTAGTTTCTAGAATGAGTCGCTTAGGTAATTCCGACCTTGTCTAGACAGGCTTCCCCGCATAACAGCCCCCCTCCCCCCCATTATTCCCAGACTCCTTTGTTTTAAAGTACTGGTGGAGTAGGTTTTTCTGTAGCTGTTGTTTAATTAAACAAAGTGGTTTTTCGCTTGAGTTTCAGGCGCCAGAGAAAGTCAGCCTCATCCAATAATCCCATCGTCTGCGGGTTGGTGAAGCAGACGGCACCACCCAGCTAAAACCTCTGAGGTTTAAGTAAATATTAGCTACCCTTTACTTTGTCGCAGTGTTTAAGATAAATTGGTGTTGCACTATAAGACAAAGGCGTTCAATGAGAAATAGGAATTGTTTATTACATAAAGGTCTGTATCACAGAGAATCGCAGTCACTCGTCTAAGCTATCATATCAATTTTTTTTACATGTTGTCTTGTTACATTTGTCTTTTTTTCAACATTGTTACATACGTAAAGAATACCGTACCAACAGTTGCACACATAAAAAGTGGATTTAAATTCACACACAATGGTTATTTTAAAAAACAATTAAATATCACAATTAACCAGGTGAGATTATTAATGATCAATCCACATTTATAGCAAGCAGAGAGGGGACGGCGTGGTCTAGCGGTAGACCGTGCGCTTGGTTCAGATCCTAGGCGGGAAACTGTAGGTCGTCTCCTGACCGAATGACCCCTCACGTCCAGAACCTGGTCATGTGGTGTACTGGGGGAGGAAGATAAAACCTAGTGGAAACCCACGGGTCTAGTGGCTGGTAGCAGGGGGGGGGGGAGAAATGTGGTAACCCACGGGTCTAGTGGCTCGTAGCAGGGGGGGGGAGAGAGAAATGTGGTAACCCACGGGCCTAGTGGCTGGTAGCAGGGGGGGGGAGAGAAATGTGGTAACCCACGGGTCTAGTGGCTGGTAGCAGGGGGGGAGAGAAATGTGGTAACCCACGGGTCTAGTGGCTGGTAGCAGGAGGGGGGGGGGGGGGGAGAAATGTGGTTACCCACGGGTCTAGCTGGTAGCAGGAGGGGGGGGGAGAAATGTGGAAACCCACGGGTCTAGCGGCTGGTAGCAGGGGGGGGGGGAGAAATGTGGTAACCCACGGGTCTAGTGGCTGGTAGCAGGGGGGGGGGGGGAGAGAAATGTGGTAACCCACGGGTCTAGTGGCTGGTAGCAAGGGGGGAGAGAAATGTGGTAACCCACGGGTCTAGTGGCTGGTAGCAGGGGGCGGGGGAGAAATGTGGTAACCCACGGGTCTAGTGGCTGGTAGCAGGGGGCGGGGGAGAAATGTGGTAACCCACGGGTCTAGTGGCTGGTAGCAGGGGGGGGGGGGGAGAAATGTGGTAACCCACGGGTCTAGCTGGTAGCATGGGAGGGGGGGGAGAAATGTGGGAACCCACGGGTCTAGTGGCTGGTAGCAGGGGGGGGGGAGAGAAATGTAGTAACCCATGGGTCTAGCGGCTGGTAGCAGGGGGGGGGAGAAAAGTGGAAACCCACGGGTCTAGCGGCTGGTAGCAGGGGGGGGGGGGGAGAAAAGTGGAAACCCACGGGTCTAGCTGGTAGCATGGGAAAGACAAAAGTTCGATTCTTAATCCTGTTCCAGCATGCCTGGGTATTCATTAAATGATTGAAGCGGTAAGTCCCAAACATATGGGAGAACAAACATGCAGACTGACAATGTTCTCTTTCAAGAAGAACTCTGTTGTTGACTTCAACCACTCAGTCCAGTTCTGCCTACATTGTTACTCATGAAATCATTATGTACAAATATTGTTTACCTAAACTATGAGTCAACACACAGTCTCACAGATTAAATACTGAAACACTCTCGCACTAATAAATCTACACAAAGTCTAGCTTTACCCCGTAGCACAGTGGCCGTACGTTTCATTGTTTTTGAACTCACAGTGTAGACCCTGTGCGCAGTCGCAGATGTACCCTTCCGTCATGCGCAAACAAAGCTCACCGAATGCTAGTAAAGGCTTGCAAACTGTTCTTGCTACTAAATTCCTGTCCAGGTCATCGAACGAAATGACCTGAAAAATTTGAAGAATATGTGTATAGTTAAATGTCTGATTTAGTCTTTTAAACAACATGAAAAAGTTGAAGAATATGTGTATAGTTAAATGCCTGATTAAGTCTTTTAAATAACACGAAAAAGTTGAAGAATATGTGTATAGTTAAATGCCTGATTAAGTCTTTTAAATAACACGAAAAAGTTGAAGAATATGTGTATAGTTAAATGTCTGATTTAGTCTTTTAAACAACATGAAAAAGTTGAAGAATATGTGTATAGTTAAATGTCTGATTAAGTCTTTTAAATGACATGAAGAAGTTGAAGAATATGTGTATAGTTAAATGCCTGATTAAGTCTTTTAAATGACATGAAGAAGTTGAAGAATATGTGTATAGTTAAATGCCTGATTAAGTCTTTTAAATGACATGAAGAAGTTGAAGAATATGTGTATAGTTAAATGCCTGATTAAGTCTTTTAAATGACATGAAGAAGTTGAAGAATATGTGTATAGTTAAATGCCTGATTAAGTCTTTGAAATAACATGAAAAAGTTGAAGAATATGTGTATAGTTAAATGTCTGATTAAGTCTTTTAAATAACATGAAAAAGTTGAAGAATATGTGTATAGTTAAATGTCTGATTAAGTCTTTTAAATGACATGAAGAAGTTGAAGAATATGTGTATAGTTAAATGCCTGATTAAGTCTTTTAAATGACATGAAGAAGTTGAAGAATATGTGTATAGTTAAATGCCTGATTAAGTCTTTTAAATAACATGAAAAAGTTGAAGAATATGTGTATAGTTAAATGCCTGATTAAGTCTTTTAAATAACATGAAAAGGTTGAAGAATATGTGTATAGTTGATTGCCTGATTAAGTCTTTTAAATAACATGTGTAAGTTTATGTGCATGATTAAGTCTTTTAAATAACATGAAAGTTTTGAATACTATGTGTAAATATCTATGCATGATGTAAGCCTTTACACTTTACATCTGTAAAGCATAAATAATGAACTAAATGTCTAGGAATGAAAGCATTGCAACTGTTTTTCTGTTGAATAAATGAAGCAAAAATCATTGTTGTCAAATTGAAATCTCACGGAGCGAGAAGAAACATGGGAAAAAAAGTTGAGAAAAAAATTGAGCAAACGCGGAGAGAAAACTTGGGATGATGGCACAAAACACAAGATGTGTCTTGTGTTGGGTGGGTGAGTGTCGTGGATTTAGTCAGTGAGTGTTGGGTATTTAGTGTGTGAGTGTCGCGTGTTTTGTGTGTGATTGTATTGTATGTGTATTGTGTATTTAGTGTGTGAGTGTCGCGTATTTAGTGATTGTCATGTATTTAGTGTGTGATTGTAATGTATGTGTATTGTTTATTTAATGTGTGAGTGTCGTGTATTTAGTGTGTCTCGTGTATTTAGTGTGTGAATGTCGTGTATTTACAGTGTGATTGTCGTGTATTTAGAGTGAGTGTCGTTTTTTAATTGTTTGAGTTCTACATATCTCGTGTTAGAGATAATTGTCTTATATTTGTAACGCAGACTTTTCACAACAGGTGTGTTTAAACACATTTATTTATTTTTTTAATTTTCACACATAATGTAAAAAATAATCTTAACTGACGTATTATTCTAAATCTACACATGTTATCTGAATAGTCTTTTCCCATTTCATAATCATCACCAACATATCACATCGCTAATTATCACCTAATCATCACCAACACATGACATCGCTAATTATCACCTAATCATCACCAACACATCACATCGCTAATTATTATAATTCCAGCACCAACACGTCACATCGCTAACCATCACCTAATCAGCACCAACTCATCACATCGCAAAGTATCACAATTTCATCACCAACACATCACATTGCTAACTATCACCGAGGATTGGGCTGCAACTTCAAACATATATTGGAATTATTTTTTACACATTTTTTTCAACCAGAAGCCAAAATTTGACGTGACTAGCCTTCAGCGGATATTGGGTTCCCGCTTCTGATATACCAGGCTGTACCCCCGACCAAACAATCCCTATACAATTATTAATCATACATCGCTGTAGGAATAAACATGGCCGGTCCGCATGACAGGGAAATCAATAGCTCGCATTATTAAAAAAATGAAAGAACTGGAGGCTAAGGAAAATAAAAATAAATATTATCCTAATTACGCGGACACAATAAAACTCAGCTGCCCAGTACGCCGTTTGAGAAATGGCCGACTTATTGATTGGGGATATTTTGGACACCGACTTTAGGTTTCTGTCAGCACTGCATGAGCCCGGGCCATTGAATTCTGTTTGATGGATGGATGAAAGGGACGCCATACAGGGAGGTAATAACGGGGGAATCAGGGGCGACTACTCTCACGACGGCAAGGTCCCACAGATTTTACATTACAAGTGCGTCTACAACATCGACGAGACTTCTGCAGACATGCAAGCAAGAAAATTGTGTTTTAGCCCTATTTATATCTGTAGCAAGTAAATTGTGTTTTAGCCCACTTCACCTATGTAGCAAGTCAATTGTATTTTAGCCCACTTCACCTATGTAGCAAGTAAATTGTGTTTTAGCTCACTTCACCTATGTAGAAAGTAAATTGTGTTTTAGCCCACTTCACCTATGTAGCAAATAAATTGTGTTTTAGCCCACTTCACCTATGTAGCAAGTAAATTGTGTTTTAGCTCACTTCACCTATGTAGAAAGTAAATTGTGTTTTAGTATGTGATTCAGGCAAGTTTAACTCTGCTTTCTAACTTGCAATTAAACGATGTAAAGTTACTTTGAACTTTATCGTAATACGTAGAAAAATTACGTTGGCCACCTGACATATTTTCTTGTTTTGTGCTACTTACCATGGCGACCAACCTCTGTTACTGAAACAATATTTAAATAACCGTTACTTTTTTCTTCTGAATGTTAAATAAAGTTTGAATTTTACATGTGTAAAAAAAGTGACCCGCGTTGAGTTTTAAAGAAATTCCTTTCCAAAGTTCGGGAAGACGTGTTCAGAATACCCCTTCCATATTTAAAGGGTAGGAATCGATTATTCATTACAGCAAAAGGAGGGAGAAAGAAGGAACCAAGAAAGGCAAAGATAGCCTGGCCCCGACTCAGCTAAAACTCAATTCAAAGGGCTTTTAATGGCGAGAAGTTGCCAGGGGCGAACACTCTTGCCACCTAGAGATTAATTTTGCCAGCGAGAAATCTAAACGACAACTTGGCAAATGACCTCATTAAAATTGCTATTTATAGCTGTTGTCGTGTCCTACAGCACAACTCTAAAAACAAGAAAACAAATTTGCCCTTCAAACGAATTAATAAATTTTACGGGATATTTTTGTCAGTTTTATCAGAATATTAATTAATATTTAATCTAATCAATACAACATTTAAACTTTTTATCCACAGTATTGTTTGAACATTATTTAAAACAGAATAATAATCTTAAGTGTGATTAAAACTGATTTGAACCCAACACTATGGATTCACTTTAGACTTCAACGTTTGAATTTAACAGTTAATAATTTAAAACAACAACATATAATATTTCAAAGTGCTTGTAGTTTGTTCTGATCGCGCTTAGTGTTGTTAACAAATTAGCGGCTAATAAGCTCAGCTGAGCTCTTGTTGAAATGTTATATTCAAATGTTGTCAGTTTTTTAGCGATGAATGTGTTCAGTCTATCGAGATTATAAAATGTGTTACTGAGTGGCAAGTACTTTTAGTCAGAGGCGTAGCGATGGGGGGGGGGGGGCAGGGGAGGGGGGGGTACATATGTCCCCGGGCGCCGACCTCAGGGGGCGCCAAAATGGGTTGTAAAAACAAAGTAAAATGCCATTTTAGCTGCACTTTTGCATTATAAATAGTTTGGGGGGGGGGGGGGGGGTGCAAATCGAAAGTTTGAGGGGAGGGGGTGCAAATCGAAAATTTGCTCCCGAGAGGGGCGCCAAATTGAAAGTTTGTCCCCGGGCGCCAGGAAGGGTCGCTACGCCATCTGCTTGTAGTTTACGTATTTAACACATTGAATGACTATCAATAACTGTAATAAACAGCTCCAAGTTCATATAACTGTGTAAAATGACTTTTCTTTAAAGTCTCAAACGCCATCTGCTAATGTACATTATCAAGGCACTGGTGTTGTATTTGCACACGTTAACCTATTATTACATCTACAGAACGCATCGAATTAAAAATGCATGTCTAAACGAAGCCTTAAAATTTCGGATAAAAATATAAAAAAAAAAAATATTTAAAAAAAGCGGGATATAACGTGGAAAGGATTTTAAGCTATAGCAAACAAGAAAAAAAAAAGGATTCTAAACGGTTTAAGTAGAACGGACAAGGAAGGATAACTTGTTTACTGCCTGCCCTTTGTTTTTGATCTACACGATGTGGAGCCTCTCAACTAAACAAAAGCCCCATTTTGTTTGGGATTAGTTAAATCTGACTCCTGGATTACCGATAAGCTTCCCGCCCCGTCCAGCAATGAGCTCTTGGTGGCCCTGGTCACGTGACGAAGCTATTAACGGACGGAGAAATGCGCCACCCAATTCCGTGCGTCAGGCAGACGATGGCGCCATTGTGCGGAAGGAAACTGTTCCCTGCTCACAGTCCAGCTTTTGGCGGGGCAGGGTGTTGGGCGGTGGGGGCAAAGAGCAAGTTTTTTTTTCATTCTCGCCTATACACTCAATCGATCTCCGTGCACCCCTCCCTCCCGGCACCCCTCCCTCCCGGCACCCCTCCCTCCCCCACCCTGCTCCCATCTAAGCGCGAGCATCATTCATTATTAACGTTCGTGTTTTGTTTCAGCGCTGACCGCCTAGAAGCGTCCAATACATTCCGGCTGGCTGAATATTTCAAATCTAAGTTTGACGAATGCACATTTTAAAGATTGGCCTGTTCTGCAAGGCGAGTTTTGTAATCGGAAACTATTTTTAGAACTGTATTGCCATCACTCTGCATGTGTACCTCCATTAAACTTTGTAACTGCAGGTCGGAGAACCGTT